AGTTTGAAGCCTGCTACCCATTCCTTTCCTTTGGTGTCCTCTAGTCCTTCTATTATGGGAACTAATGAAGAACTTTTCTGGATGCACCCTCTCCACCCAACTCCTGCTTTTAGAGACCTCTATCCTGTCCCCCCTCCGTCTCCTCTTTTCTAAGCTGATAAGTCCCAGTCTCTTTAGCCTCTCTTCATATGGGATCTGTTCCCAACCCCTGATCATTTTAGTTGCCCTCCCCTCTCCCACCCTCTCTCTTCCCCTCTCCCACCTCCTTTTCCCAGTCTCCCCCAGATTTGTTCAATAAAGACAGATTCAATTTTTGAACACAATTGTCCTTTATTTTGTACATCAAGAAGAGGGGCTAGGGAAGGGTAAGTGGAAGGAAGTGAGGGAGGAATGGGGTACGAGCACCCAATGGAGAGGACTGGGCTGGCTCTGCGGGCTTCTGGGGGTGGAAGCTCTCCTGCAGCCCCCCAATTGCTCCCTCTCCCCAGATGGCAGCCTGCGGCAAGTGTAGCCAGTCTGATGGCCGAGTGCTGTGATGTGCCCAGTGTGGGTACTCCGGGCAATCCAAGCCAGGACTGCTTTGCAAGCAGGGCACCCCATAGAACTGTCTGTCGGGGGTGGGGGTCGGGACCCTTTAAGCACAGCCCTTGGCTAACCTGAGACAGCATCTCCACGCTCTAAGTCCTCCTCTGATGCCCTGCCGGCATTGCTTCCGGCCATCCTTAAGTCCACTTAATGTGGACATGCTAGTTCGAATTAGCAAAACGCTAATTCGAACTAGTTTTTTAGTCTGGATTCATTAGTTCGAATTAGCTTAGTTCTTAGAATTAACTAATTCGAACTAAGTTAGTTCGAATTAACGTTGTAGTGTAGACGTACCCTAAGAGTTGTTCCCAGAGATTTTCTCTGTGTTTTAATTTTTTACTTAGTTGCTCTGTACATCTAGCAACCAAGTATGCTTTATCAAGTATATCTTTTGTTTGTTAATAAAAATAACGTTTAAGGTGATGATTTGATTCTTGTGTCCTGGAAAGTAACCGGGGGAGGGGGTGGGGGGAGTCTGTGGGTGTATTTGCCTGCCTAAGACTGGGCAGTCAACTACCAGAAACTGTACCTTGTTTTTCTTTTTTCAAGCTCTTTTTGGGGCAGAAGTGCTTGGGATACTCCTGGGGAAGGAATACAAGTGTTCTCTCCTGTTTTTTAGGGTGAAATCACTTGATGGTGGCAGCTTTGGGTTTTTTTTCTCTCAGAGCCAGTGCATCTGTGACTCTGGGGAGTTTTTTTTGTTTTTGCTTTTTTTTGTTGTAAGCAGAGCCAATAGAGGCAAGGTATTTAAGGTTTTATGTGAGCCCCCTCCTTCTGCTCTCAGAGTGCTATAGTGCAGGACAGCCCTGACAATAGTATATGAAGTTCTTTAAACAACATATTTGTAACAATAAGTTGTTCTCTGAAAAAAATTATATTGGGACCTTGGTGTCAGATTTGGTCCCAAATTATTTCTTTCTTTCATCCTGTTCTGCCAGCTGTCATCCTATGTCTGGAGAATGCTCCTGCAAGCCAGGCTGGTCTGGACTCTACTGTAATGAGACATGTTCTCCTGGATTCTATGGCAAATCTTGTCAACAGATCTGCAGCTGCCAAAATGGTGCTGACTGTGACAGTGTGACAGGAAAATGCATCTGTGCCCCTGGATTTAAGGTAAATAATTCTAAAGTTCACAGTTGTTCTTCCCCCTCCCCCCCGCTTTTACTTCCTTCATTTAGGGCCTTATTCAAGGAAATGTTGAGAGTTAATGTGAAGTTAATGGGAGGTGAAGACATTCAGTTTGCCACTTCTCAGGAGTCTCTTAGCTCCTTGTCAGACAGGGTCATAAAGGATAAAAATTGCTCTTAAAAATCATGTAGTGATGAGAATGGGAAAGTGCTAAAGAGGAGTCTGTACTTACTACAACAGGAAGGAATCAGAGGAGGGGGGGAACTGTGTCTGTTGCAGCACTAATATGTGAATTTAACTAACTATTTTATAGTAAAAACTACAACGAATACAGTTATTTCTACAAATCATGATGCCCAATTTCAGTGGTTCTCACAGATGTTCTTGCATAGGATTATACTAAAAATGTAACCTTCAAGACATAGTATGGTACTTCTTTTTTTCTAGCACTAATAGCTATAATATGTGTATAGTAGAAAGAACACTTTAATCAAATGATATTTTTGGAATATTGCATTGCATATGTCCATAAACAATGAAAAGTCCTGTGGCACCTTATAGACTAACAGATTTTTGGAGCATAAGCTTTCGTTGGCAAAGACCTATTTCATCAGATAGTGGGTCTTAACAGATAGCCGCTGTTAGGGTATGTCTACTCTAGCCCCCTAGTTTGAACTAGGGAGGCTAATGTAGACATTCGAAGTTGCAAATGAAGCCTGGGATTTAAATATCCCGGGCTTTATTTGCACATTCCCGTCCGGTCGCCATTTTTTAATTCCACTAGTCCGAAGGAACTGTCCGCAGCTACACGCGGCAGTGAAACGGTAATTCGAACTAAGTTTCATTCCATGAGGAGTAAGAGTTAATTCAAACTAAGGACTTAGTTCGAATTACTGTTTCACTGCCCCGTGTAGCCGCGGGCAGTTACTTCGGACTAGTGGAATTAAAAAATGGCGACCGGACGGGAATGTGCAAATAAAGCCCGGGATATTTAAATCCCGGGCTTCATTTGCAACTTCGAATGCCTACATTAGCCTCCCTAGTTTGAACTGGGGGCTAGTGTAGACATACCCTTAGTCTGTAAGGTGTCACAGGACTTCTCATTGTTTATGCAGATTCAGACTAACACGGCTACCCCTCTGATACTTGTATATGTCCAAATTATTTTCCATTAGCATTTTACACTACACTCTACTTTTATAAATTGCTTCTTTGTACAGTAATGCTGAATATTGGCTTAACCAAGTGTTGGCAAATATGTGATGTGCTCTCCTATATCAATTAATATAAAACAAATACTTATTGTAGATTTAAGGAGTATTAAAATGCTTAATGCTTTCCTGTAAACCCAGGCTGACCTGATGACAGCGTAGCATGTGAGACGGTCTGCAAGTTTTCTGCAAGTTACTTGTAACACTGAAACAACAGTCAGTCTTCTCAGAAGGGGGTTGACAGTATAATCTAGGGTTAGAGAACGTGCTGGTGATATTTTTTTTATTTGAACTCTCATTGATGTTTTGTCAAATAATTTTAACATATTTGTGTATGTTTTAGGATTCTGATTGTGCTACTCCTTGCCCTCTGGGAACCTATGGAGTAAATTGTTCCTCTGTGTGCAACTGCAAAAATCAAGCCATCTGTTCTCCCGTGGATGGTTCTTGTTCCTGCAAAGCAGGTCAGAGTGCCTAACAAATTAGTCTCCCATCTCTGTAATCAGTTATCAATATAAGTTATTAATACACCTGAACATGAGCTTTTGAAATAGAGAAGAAGAAATAAACACAAACTTAAATTTTAAAAGAGCCAGGCACTAAGGCCTGGGTCCCTTCACTGTTCATAATAGTGACAAACCAAGAAATATCTCCCTAGCGACGATTGTGGGCAGCTTGCCCTTGCCACTTTGTACACTCATTGCTCTCTGTGCAGGTCACACTGGATTTGTGGCTGAGGGGGATCATCCCCAAGCCAGGATGCTACTCTCAGGAATTGCTGAGCACACGTCACTGTAGCTTTCCTTATGAGTGAGTTATTTGTCAGCACTCTTACTTTTCTACTCACACTCCAAATTAGCATGAATCTGAGCAAGCTCTGGGCCACTGCAGCCTTCTACCCCATACCTGATATTCTTCCTGTCCTATTTTTACCCTCCAAATCATAATTTCCACCTTGATTTCCCTTTAGCTTTCCTGCTCAATCCTATGTTGCCCAATTGTTCTTTGACCCAGTTGCAACACT